CTTTACTATTCTGCCTCTCCAACTTCAACCCACTAGTTATCAGGGGCAGGGTTTTGGGTTCTCTCCCTCCTTGGAGTACCAGGAAACTAGTGAATGAGTGGCCATCTGGGCAAGCCAAGGTCTAGGATGGCACTGCCTCCTGTTTGTGTCTCCTTCTCTTTGGTACAAGGCTGTGTGAGAGTTCCAGAGAACAAACAACCAGAGATCTGGAAGTAGAATTTGCAAGCAGGCAATTCTGAAGAGTCACCAATATAGCTGCAAAGTGAGACTTCCTTGACCTTTCAGGGATTCTGTGCCCTGCAGCAAGGGAATGGACCCATCCAGTGGCTATAGCCCATTCAGCAGTGAACATGGTAGGGCAAGTTTTGTAACAAATTCTTTAACTTTAAGCTCAATCTCTCCAAAGATCCAGGTATTTTAAACAGTGTTCTCCAGTTTAGGAGATATTTTATATTCCAGGCCTCGCTATATGTTTTCAGTAAGTAACCCTTTGTAAAAAAAAATTTAATTGATAATAATTGATAATGTTGAAGAAAATTTTGCCAATTGATATGAGAGGTAAACATACCAAAATGGGTGCTTGATTGAATGGTATTTGAAAGACATCTATTGATTGATATTGGATGGCTCTCAAGGAGGGTGGGGGCCAGGGAGATACATGGAATACTATGGTAATGTAAGAAAGAAAAAACATCAAGGTCCACCTCAGGAGGTGGAGCCAAGATGGTAGAGTAAAGGCAGATATTTACCTGAGCTCTCCCTCAAACCTCTACAAATTCCTTTAAAAATAACGCCAAACAAATTCTGGAGGAGGAGAACCCACAAAAAGACAAATTTCCAGCCCAAGACAACCTAGAAAGTCAGCCTGAAAGGTCTCTTACACTAGGGTGAGAGAGGAGCACAGAGAGCAACCCAAGCTGGGCCAGTGCAGATGGGACTCCAGCAAATCCAGATCAGGCCTCACAGTGACTGAATCACTGGTAGCAGTGGTAGTTTCCAGACCTCTCAGCCCACAGACACCAAAGACAACATAGAAGATCAACAAGAAAGGTCTGTCCACCTGGGTGAGAATAGAGCTCAGTGGAGCACAGGCCATGCCAGCACAACCCTGGCCACAGCAAACCAGGAGCAGGCCTAGGAAGTAACTGAATCAGCAGTGGCACTGGCTGCTTCCAGAGCTCTCAGCCCACAGACAGTAAGGGAGTTGAACAATAGGTCAGAAAGAGATTACAGGGGTCTTTTTGCTATCTCTGAGGCAGGACTCTGTTGCTTTGCCTATACTCAAAGCTGAGTTGCAGACCTGAGTGAAGAGGGGAACCCTCCTCACAGTTCCAGGGCAGAAAAGAGTACTTGTGGTCCCTCACAGACCAGAGCACAGACCAAGAGAGGAGTAAACCCTTCTCCTTAAATCACACCACCTTGAAAGAACTGAAAACTTAACTGCTCCCTAGAAGTATCTCTGAAAACAGATGCAAAAATCCCCTGAAGCTTGAGACAGTGCATCTGCCACCCTAGAAGCAGAGCCCTACTCTAACAAAGACTTAGAAGTTGAGTAATAGGCTGAGAATGTGAGTAAACAACAGAAAAAACTGATGGTAGACAAGACTGACTATAGATAAAACTGACTATGGTGACAAGAAAGATCAAAACACTCTCAGAAGAAGACAACAGAGTCAATGCTCCTATATCCAAAGCCTCCAAGAAAAGTATGAATTGGTCTCAGACCACGGAAGAGCTCAAAAAAAAATTTGAAAATCAATTAAGAGAGGTAGAGGAAGTATTGGAAAGAGAAATGAGAGTGATGCAAGCAAATGATGAAAAATGAGTCAACAGCTTGGTAAAGGAGACACAAAAAAAAAAAAACAGCGAAGAAATAACACCTTAAAAACCAGACTAGGCCAAATGGTAAAAGAGGTCCAAAAAGCTAATGAGGAGAAGAGTGCCTTAAAAAGCATAATTGACCAAATGGAAAAAGAGGTCCAAAAGCTCACTGAAGAAAATAATTCCTTAAAAATTAGAATAGAGCAAATGGAAGCTAATGACTTTTTGAGAGATCAAGAAATAATAAAATAAAATCAACAGAATGAAAAAATAGAAGACAATGTAAAATATCTTGTTGGAAAAACAACTGACCTGGAAAATACATCTAGGAAAGATAATTTTAAAATTATTGGACTTCCTAAAAGCCACGATCAAAAAAAGAGCCTAGAAATCATCTTTCAAGAAATTATCAAAAAAAAAAAAAACTTCCCTGATATTCTAGGACCAGAGGGTAAAATAGACATTGAAAGAATACACTGATCACCTCCTGAAAGAGATTCCAAAGGGAAAACTGCCAGAAATATTATAGCTAAATTCCAGAGTTCCCAAGTCAAGGAGAAAATACTGAAAATAGCCAGAAAGAAACAATCCAAGTATCATGGAGCAACAGTCAGGTTAATGCAAAATTTAGCAGCTTCTATATTAAAGGATCAGAGGGTTTGGAATATGATATGCCAAAGGGCAAAGGAACTAGGATTACAACCAAGAATCACCTACCCAGAAAAACTGAGTATAATCCTTCAGGGGAAAAAATGGATAATCAATGAGATAGAGAGCTTTCAAGCATTCTTGATGAAAAGACCAGAACTGAATACAAAATTTGACTTTCAAATAGAGACTCAAGAGAAGCCTAAAAAGATAAACAGGAAAGGGAAATCACAAGGGATTTAATAAATGTAAACTATTTACAATCCTACATGGAAAGATGATATTTGTAACATAAGACCTTTCTCATTATTAGGCTAGTTAGAAGGAATATATATATATATATGTACAGGCAGAGGGCACAGGTGTAAGGTGAAGGGATGATATCTAAAAAGTAAAATTAAGGGGTAAGAAAGGAATGTACTGGGAGAAAGAGAAAGGGAGAGGTAAAATAGGGTAAATTATCTCACATAAAAGAGGTAAGAAGAAGTTTTTACAGCAGAGGGGAAGAAGAGGGAAGTAAGGGGGAATGAGTGAACCTTACTCTGATCAGAATTGGCTCAAAGAGGGAATGACATACACACTCAATTGGGTGTAGAAATCTGTCTTACCCTACATGAAAGTAAGAGGGGACAGGGGAGTGATAGAAGGTGGGGCAGATTGGAGAAAGGGTATTCAGAAACAAAACACTTTTGAGGAGCGACAAGGTGAAAGGAGAGAGAGAATAGAATAAGGGGGGGAATAGGATGGAGGGAAATACAATTAGCAATAATAACTGAAAAAATTTTGAAGCAAGTTTCTCTGATCAAGGCCTTATTTCTCAAACATATAGAGAACTGAGTCAAATTTCAAAAAATAAGAGCTATTCCCCAATTGATAAATGATCAAAAGATATGATGTTTTCAGGTGAAGTAATCAAAGCTATCTTTAGCCATATGGAAAAAAATGCTCTAAATCACTCTTGATTAGAGAAATGAAAATTTAAAAAGTTCTGAGATACTACCTCATACCTATTAGATTGGCTAATGGGACAGAAAAGGAAAATAACAAATGTTGGAGGGGATGTAGGAAAAATGAGACATCAATGCACTGTTGGTTGAGTTGTGAACTGATTCAACCATTCTGTAGAGCAATTTGGAATTATGACCAAAGGGCAAAAAAACCCCGTGCATAACTTTTCACCTATCAATACCACTACTAGGTCTATATCCCAAAAGATTAAAAAAAAAAGGAAAAGGACTTATATATACAAAAATCTTTATAGTAGCTCTTTTCTGGAGGCAAAGAACTAGAAATTGAGAGGATGCTCATCAATTGGGGAATGGCTGAACAAGTTGTGGTATGTGATTATGATGGAATACTATTGTACTATAAGAAACAATGATCAGGATGCTCTCAGAAAAAGGCAGAAAGACATGCACAGGTTAATGCAAAGTGAACATACTGTGTACGAACGTACAGCAATATTGTAAGATGATCAACTGTGAATGACTTAGTTATTCTCAGAAATACAACGATCCGAGGTAACTCTGAAGGACTTATGATGAAAAATGCTATCTATCCCCAGAGAAAGAACTGAAGGTGTCTGAATACAGATTGAAGTATACTATTTTTTACTTTATTTTTCTTGGGGTTATTTTTGTCTATGTTTTCTTTCACAATATGACTATTATGGAAATGTTTTTCATGACCTATGTATAACCTAAATTGAATTGCTTGCCTTCTCAATGAAGGAGGGGATGGGGAAGGAGGAAGGGAGAGAATTTGGAACTCAAAGTTTTAAATATTAAAAAAAAATTACATGTAACTGGGGAAAAATAAAATACTAAAGAAAAATAAAATTAAAAAAACAAAAAAAATCAATATAATTTTTTATTTAAAACTCAAAAACCAACAAAAAAGAAAGACATCCATCCCCTACCTCTCAAAGGTACCCCTAGAACCTTAATGGGAAGATGTAGCCAGCCACACTTGAGGATTCTCTCAGTGTACACATGAATTAGGAAAGTAAATGCAGAGCCTTGAAGGGTAACTTTAAGTGATCTTCACTAGTGAATCCTGCAAGGTGAGACCACCAAGCATTCTATGAAATGAGGCATTCCTTTTGTCTATGGAATTGCAGTGAAACTAGTTCTGCTGACTGCTATATTCACTTCTCTGAAGACAACTTGTGAGCCATATTTTCCCTCTTATAGCTACAACATTTTCATTTTCTGTTTCTGTTTATAGGTAGAATGTCAATATGGGTTTAGTTCATTTCCTTGAGTAATACGTCTATTTATTAGCAATCACATGGAGGACACACGTTGTGTGCCATCAGCTAAATAAAACTTGGCTGACAGTCTTACAACTGTGTGATTTAAAGCATACTCTATACGTTTCTCAGTAAGATGATTGCCTCACCTTTCTACTAAGAAGATACTTATTATTCATATGATAATAATAGCTGGATGTGTGACAAGTTTAAATTACAAGGACAGAGTGTTCTAAAGATAAAACCTTCAACCTCTTACAACTCTTTAGGATATATAAAAGTCAGTACATTCATTTGGATGGAAAGAACGGGATAACACTATGGGGCCCAAAGTTATGTGCCTTATGATTTCTTGCACTCTTCTGGCTTGGTATATGCATACAACTTTCTCAGCAAACTTTGAACAACCCTGGAAGATAATGATGATTCATTCTCTTACTAAAATTTGTCAACTTACGGTAAGATAAGAATTTCCTTCTATGTATTTTCTACTCATTACTAATTTCAAATAAAGGGGCAAAATCTATTAGTTTCCACTTTTAAAATGCAGTTAATTTTCTTTTAGGTTATATCAATCAGATAATACTTGCTATATATCATCTTTACAGCAGTGGGAGACACAACTGCCTATTAGCAGTTGACAGCTAGATGTAGGAATATGGATGGTGTAGATTATGTGATTAAAGGAGACATTTGGATTTTTTAACATAAAATATATTTTGTGAGTTCTCTCTTTTTTTTCTCATCTATTTTCCTCTTCTCTTACTGTCATTTTGATATCTTGATTACATGCAAAATCCTAATGACATCTTGTCTTCCTCCTTGCATGTCCCCGCATCATGGGGTCACTGCGACCCTGTAGTGTGCCATAATTTGAGCATGCTAGATTTGTAGTCAATGGAACTAGGTTGGAATCTTGTCTCTTTCCCTTAATTTTTGTCTGACCTTAGGAATGTCACTTAACGTTTCTCAGCCTCCACTTCCCAATCCATGAAGTATGGAGTTTGAGTGAAATAAAAATCTGTCACCTAAGATCCTAGGAAGGCCACAACCATCACCCATACTCATTGTCCCACAAATTCTCCTGTACTTTATTTCAATTCATTATAAATTTTCAAATCGATATGTTAATGGTTTTTTTTTCCAAATGCATGATATCCTTTCATTTGAATATTCCCACGTTGTTCATTTTCAGTACAAGAGATTTCAGGGACTTAACTCTAATGCACTCTCTCTCTCTAAGCATACAACTCCACCAATCCAACATTTCTGTTCCAACCTACCAAACATAAGTGACACATTTCTTGACCACAGAACTATAAGGAGCAGTTTGAGCTCCCAGGACAACTAATCACAAGGCAAACAGCACACGAGCCCTCAAATTGGCTTGTTTAAATTTATGACATGAAACTATGTAAGTAGTAATGAAAGTATTTGATGTAATTCAAGAAATGTTCACAATTGCATCAAGACAAGAGAAAGAAATTGAAGGTAAATACAGGCAAAGAGGAGCAAAAACTATCCCCATTTCCAGATGACATAATGGATTTCTTATAAAATGCTAAAGGATCAGCAAAGATATCAATTGAACCAATTAATAGCTTTAGCAAATTTGCACAATACAAGATATACCCACAAAAATCAACACAATTCTATATAGTAATAATCAAATTTAAGATACAATAAGAAAAATAGAAATCACCTTCAAATTAGCTTCAAAATACATAAAATATTTTGAAATCAATCTATCAAAGTATACCCACTACCTTATATAAAATCAATTACAAAGAGATACTTAAGGAAACTTTAAAAAATATTAAATAGCTATAAGAGTATTCATGTCTGGGTTATGACAATATAATAAAAATGAGAATACTACTGACATTCATTTACAATTTTAATGCTCTACCAATTAAACTATCAAAGAGATACCTTACGGAATTCAATAAAACAACAACAAAATTAATTTGGAGAAGCAAAAACCCAAAACATCAAGAAAAATAGTAGGGGAGGGGGAAAGGTAGGAATTAATGGAGCATAGCACTCCTAGACCTCAAGTTTATCATAAAGCAGAAGTCTTCAAAACCATTTGCTATTGGTAAATAAATAGTGAAGTAGATCAATGAAACAGACTAAACAGAAGAGAATCAGAAATGATAAAACAACAAAATATTTTTAGTAGCAAATTTAAGGGTAACAAAGAACTGGAAGTCAAGTAGATGTCCATGAACTGGAAAATGGTTAAACAAGTTGTGGTATATGAATGTAATGAAATCTTACTGTGCTGTAAGAAATAATGGATATGACGAATACAAAGAGGCATGGCCATACTTATATGGAGGGCAGAGTCATCATTGCAGAGTGAGAGCTAGCAATTTTGCCTTCGCTCACCTAAAACCTCCTTTACAATGACCTAGAAAATGTGCCAAGCTGAGTGCTGCTTGGGAAAGCCAAGAAAAAGTCTCAGTGAGTCATTTTCCCTGCTCCAGGAAGTTTAGAAAGATAGAGACACTGGGGTGGAGGTGGCCAGGAGTGGTCTGTAGCTGCTGCAGCAGGTAGAAACAGCACAGGCAATGGACTGTGGTGGCAGCAGTGATGAGAAGCAGACAAGCACCTGGGGGTGGTAAGAGAAATGAACACCTCAGCAGAAGGAGATCCCAGAGGACCCCTGTACTAGCACAGGTGCCATCTGATAGTTCGATAGCCCATTACCCAGTTCCAGATCACAGTTTCAGAGTAGAAAGGAGTGATTTCTCAAAGTTACAAGGGAGAAGGGACCCCATCTCTGTAAGGACCAAGGAACAAGTTCCAGAATGAAAGCTATGTGTCTCTGAGCACGAGAGCTGAGGTGAGCATCACTTCTAACCTATAGGTCCTACATAGGACTGCAGCGGAATAAACCAGAGAAGGAGCCCAAAACCAAGGTGAATCCAATAGTTCAGCTGCTCTGAACCTGCAGAACCTCCAACCAGGCTGATTGTGACTGAGTCCAGAAATGGTATATGAAAACAAGCCACAAACAAGACCATAAACCCAAACTGGGTCAGAATTTGCAGGGAGCAGACCTGGTAAGAAGTGAACAGATCTCTCCTTATATCATTATGGTTTGTCCTTTGTTCTTGAAGAGGACCAGTGATAGCACAAGTGTGATGTCTTGACTTGCATGTGAATTATATTTAGCTAAGGCATGGCTCCACAAAAGTGTCAGCCTTCTTTTCTCCCCCAGAGTCATTGAAGTCTAGTGGTGAGACAAAAGTTAAGATGACTGAAGATGGCCCAGGATGCAGTGGGTTACCTTGGCCTTCCTAAATTAAGGTCTTTTGCAGGTCTCAATTTTCCTGAGTCAACACCAATTCAATGTCTAAGGGCTAGGTAAGAATTGAGATAAAAGATGGCCTAATTTACCATCACAAAATATCAATCTGGGAAGGGAAGACCCTCAAAGTTTCCGGCCAAAACAGAAAAAAATTGCTTTTTACACTTTTACATTACATAAAAACCTAAACAATGAGCCACAGAGTCGCCATGTAAAACACAATGGCTTTTTTAAAGACTGTTTTTCCAGAACTACATTTCAAAAAATCATAAATGAAAACTGCATAGGACAAAAAGTAAATTGTCCCAGCTTTTAAAAAAATAATAATAATAAAATGTTTTTAAACTACCTCCTAAGCTCCAAAATATCTAACAAAATAAGAAGGTTTAGAAGGAAAGATAATAAGTTCCATTTTAGACATATTGAGTTTATGATGTCTATTATACATCAAGTCCAATATGTCTGAAAGACAGTTGCATATGTGAAATTGGAGGTCAGCAGAGATTGAGGGAGGTAGATTTTAGAATCATCAGCAGAGAGATGGTAATCAAATCCATGGGAGCTGATGAGATCACCAAGTGAAGTGGTATAGAGGGAGAAGAGAAGAGGACCCAGGACAGAACCCTGAGAGACACCTACAGTTAGTTATAATAGATAGATAGGCGTGACAGATAGGAGGAAAACCAGGAGAGAATGGTGTCCCAAACATCAAGGAGGAGAGAGTGATCATCAATATCAAAAAGCTGCAGAAATGTCAAGGACAATGAGAATTGAGAAAAAGCCACCGGATTTGATAATTAAGAGATCATTAGTAACTTTGGAGGGGGCAGTTTTGGTGGAATGATAAATTCAGAAACCAGACTGTAAGGAGTTAGGAGGAGAATGAGAGGAGAGAAAGTAGAGGCACCTACGAGATATAAAATGGATAATATTAATTGTTGTTATTCTTCAATTGTTTTCAGTCATGAATAGACTCATTATGACCCCTTTTGGCATTCTCTTGGCAAAGGTAATGGAATGATTTGCCATCTCCTTCTCCAGCTCATTTTTATACAAGAGGAACTGAGACAAATAGGATTAAGTGACTTGCCCATGTCACACAGCTAAGAAGTGTCTGAGGCCAGATGTGAACTCGTGAAGATGAGTCTTCTGACTCCAAAATTCAAAAGGTTTTGCACAAACAAAACCAATGCAGCCAAAATCATGAGAAAGGCAGGAAACTGGGGGAGGGGGGGGCGGGAATCTTTGCAGCAAGTTTCTCTGATAAAGGTCCCATTTCTCAAATATATAGGAAATGTAATCAAAATAATAAGAATGGGGGATATTTCCCAACTGATAAATGATCAAGGGATATGAATAGGCAGTTTTCAGTGGAAGAAATCAAAGTTATGAATAGTCAGATAAAAAATGTTTCAAATCACTAATATATAGAAAAATGCACATAAAAACAACTTTGAAGTATCACTTCACAACCAAATGAATGGCAATAAAGAAAAATGGAAGATTCTGGTGGAAATGTAGGAAAATAAGTACATTAATGCACTATTGGTGGATCTATGAACTGGCCCAACCATACTAGAGAACAATGTAGAACTATGGCCAGAGAGCATTTAAACTGTTTATAAACTTTGACCCAGCAATAACACTACTAAGTCTATACCACAAAAAAAAAATCAAAGAAAAGGTGAAAAAAATCAATATGTACAAAAGTATTTATAGAAGTTTTTGTGGTGGCAAAGAATTGGAAACTGAGGGGATGCCTATCAATTGAGGAATAGCTGAACAAGTTATGGTATGTGAACGTGATGTAATACTACTGTATTATGAAAAAAACATAATGAGCAGGATTGTTTTGGGAAAAACCTGAGAAGACTTATATGACCTGATGCAAAGTGAAGTGATCAGAAATAGAACAATTTACACAGTAACAGCAATATTCTAAAGATAATCAACTGTGAAAGACTTAGTAATTCTGAGCAATACAACCCAGCACAATTCCAATGAAAAATGTTATCTACCTCCAGAGAGAGAAATAATGAACTCTGAGTACAGCCTGAAATACAACCACAAAACCTTTGTAAGTGAAGGCTCCAAAATTTCAAACAATGTGCATGACTCCAAAGAAGAGCTTTGCAGAGGTGGGAAGTCCATGGGCATGGAACACTGAATATACTTTGAGATTTTTTTCAATGTATGGATTAATTTTGTTGATTGTGCTTTTCTCTTATCCCTTTTTCTTTTGTCTCTAAAAAAAGCCTTTGTTTTATGGAATGACTCTCATTGGGAAGAAAGGGAGGGATGCGGGGAAAAATTGGGCAATTTAAAAACAAAAGATATAAAAATTTATTTTAAAAAAGCAAGTAAGACAAATTAGGTTTTGTGAAAGAAAGCCTTAGTTACTGTAGAGGATTGGTCAACATACCCCACAATTAGGAAGAGACCTCAGAGGTCATGTAACTTATACCGTGGGATTTGGAAATTCCTTGCTCTCTTGACTACATCAGAGATTCCTCAGTGGACCCTCATCTCACATAACTCAAGAGAGAGAAGGCAGCATCAGTATTACTCTTTGTCTTCCATGGAAGGAAAGGTCTCTGACTGCTTGGAGGGGGAATTTACTCCTTGAAGATATTAGCTAGGTTCTGAGAGAATATTTCTTTCTTCTCCTAATTAGAACACAGTTGATCATTGCGTAGTCCCTTGAATTTCCCAACTATATTACCTTTGTACATTTGAGTCCTGTGTTTGCATTTCAAAGTACCTATTCTGCACTTTCTTGAGCAAGTGTACTTGGTTGTCTTCTTTTTACTGGAGGGTCCAATTTTCCCCTGTAGGATTACACTTAGTTTTGTGGATAAGATCTTCTTGCATGTAAGGCTTACCTTTTGCTCCCTGCAGTATAGTGGTAGCTACGTGCGTGATCTTGGCTGTCTCCTTGCTTTCTTAAAGTCTCTCTGACTCCTCATGGTATTTTCTTCTTTGACCTGGAAGCTCTAGATTTGGGCCATGCTGTTTCTGAGGGCTTTCTTTTTTTAGGCTTCTTTCAGGAGATGATCAGTGGCTGGTTTCTGTTTTCACTTTGCCCATTAGTTCTAATAGGAATGGGTAGTTGTCATTCATGATTTTTTGAAATATGGTACCTAAGCTCTTTATGGTCAAGGTTTTCAAGTAGTTTGACAAGACTTAGATTGTCTCTCCTTAGCCTCTTTTTGAGGTCAATGGTTTTTGATAGGTGGTACATTTTATGATTTTTTTTAGCCTTTTGAATTCGTTCTCTTATTTCTTGTTGTCTCATGCAGTCACCGATATCTGTCTGTTTCAACCTCATTTTCTTTTTTTTTTTTTTGTTGGGCTGTGGGAGTTAAGTGACTTGCCCAGGGCCACACAGTTAGTAAGTGTTATGTGTCTGAGGCCAGATTTGAACTCAGGTCCTCCTGACTCCAGGGCCAGTGCTCTATCCACTGTGCCACCTAGCTGCCCCCTTAACCTCATTTTCAAGAAGTTGGTCACTTGAGTAAGGTTTTGTACCTCCCTTAACAAATTGTTTATTCTTTTAATTTTTTCTTCATTTCCTTTTCCATTCTTTGCTCTGTGGCAGTTTTTTCCTAGATATTCTCATCTTTAAATCTTTATTTGTTCTTAGAATTCCATTACAATGGTGGCAAGTCTGTGAAAATATTTGAGGTTCTTATAAAAGATAGAGACTGAGAATTTTCCTTTGGCTTTATGTCTTGAGCACCCCTGAGTCCAAAGTATTTTTATTACAAATTTGTTTTCCTTTTTAATAATTTGTCAAGGCAAGTCAATAAGAATTTTCTTCAGCAACATGCTAAGTGCTATATATATGAAGAAAAGCAAAAAAAAAATCCCTGCCTTTGAGTAGCTCTTAGGAACGACACCATGCAGACAACAAAGATATGTACAGGATAAACTGAAGACAATCAACAGAGGCAAGGCATTAGCATTAAGGGGGAAATCAAGAAAATCTTCTTGTAGATTTGGAACTTTAGGTGAGACTTAAAAGGAAGCTGAGAAAGCCAGGAGATGGAAATGAAGACGAAAAGAATTCCAGGTATAGGGGACAGCCCATTAAAAAAAAACCTCTCAGTATTAAGACACAGTGTCTTGTTGGAAGAACAGTAAGGAGGTTAGACTCTGCATTATAGAGTACAGGGTAAAGGTAATGGAGAGTGTGATGTAAGAAGACTAGAAAGGTAGGAAGAAACCTGGTTATGAAGGGCTTTAAATACCCAATGGAAGATTTTATATTTGATCCTGGAAGTAACAGTGAGTCATTGGAGATTATCAAATAGGAAGGTGACATGATCAAACCTATGATTTAGGAAAATGAATCTGACAGCAGAGCGGCAGATGAACTGGAAGGGCAAGAGATTTGAGATATCAGGTCATTGTAGTAGTCCAAGAAGCAAGGGGAGGGTGACGGTAGTATCATAGGAGAAAGGGGGCATATACAAGAGATGTTATGAAGGTAAAATCAACCAACTGTGCATGGTGACAGAGCGAATGTTGGGGTGAAAGTAAGAAGGTGAGGATGATAACAAGGTTGTGAGCCTCAGTGACTGAGAGGATAGTGCTGTCCTTGATAGAAATAGGATGGGGGGAGGACTTGGGAAGAAATATAGTGAATTCAATTTTGGACTTATTGAGTTTAAGATGTGCACACAAGTGGTCTGTGGGGGTGTTGGAGCTGTGAAATGGCTCAAGCAAACTGGTAATCAATTTGGAATCATATCGAAACAGTCACTAAATTGTATGTGCCCTTTGACCTTGTGACATTACTAGTAAGTGTGTAGCCCCATCGAGGTCGAAGACTAAAATAAATGATCTCATATACTCTGAGTGGCCCAGAGGTCCATACAATTCAGGTGACTTAGCCCTAGTCACACAGATGGTATTTTTTCAAATCAAGGCAGGTCTTGAACTCAGATCTTTCCAACTCCAAGGCCAGTTATTCATTTAATATGATCTATTTAAGTGTGTGTAAATATAAAATAGTGTTAACATATGTATATGTCTTCTTTCTTTTTATTCTGTCAGGGTACAGCTTTGGAAAAATTGGGCCTAATGAGCTATTGGAAATTTTTTGATATTCTAATACAAGGGCAAATAACAGCTCCCATTTCTGATGAAAATGTCACAGTGACTGACACAATAGTCAATGACATCTTAGTGCGTTATTATGTGCCAAAGAGGAAATCACATGAGCTGAAACGAGCAATTATTTATTTCCATGGAGGAGGTTCTAGTTTTGGCAGCATTGGTAAGTAGATCCATCCCTAGGACAAAGTCCGCATTTTCTCTTACATCAAGGAACTGGGCTTTCATCTCTCTGGAAATACTTTCTTCTGACAAGATCCCAAACCAGCTAAACTCATAATGTTGGAGAGCTGCGTGAGGGTTTCTGGTGTTAAATGACTTGACCAGAGTCACCGTGCCAAGAAGTCTAAAATGCAACATATGAATATAGATCTTGATCACACTAAACCCAGTACTCTATTCACTATATTATATTGCTTCTAACTTTTCTAGTACCAGGTTTGTTTGTTTTTTTTATTTATAAGACTCTATCATGAGAGTATGCATCTTTACCAAGAAGTATTAAATCCTATCATAAATAAGATTAAGGCATGAGTTTCTTTAATTTGTTATTTTATAGAGAAGATCCTAGTCAGTACATTTTGAATTATTTTCCTTTTTTTCTATTTTAAAGAAGTACTTACTGTGAATATTTCCAGTTTTGACTTTGATATATTAAAAGGGAAATGAGAAAGTCATTCCACACTAATTTTCTATGTGGAGATCCAGTCCCAAAGCTATGACAAGTTAGTAATAGTAACAGCTACTGTTGATGTATTTTGCTGTGTGTTTCTATAAGGACAATGAAAATGAAGGCCAGTTCTATTGGTAGAAAGAATTATGGAGATTGGGGTGATGCCCTGAATTTACTGCAGCTGCCAGACCAATTGACTAATTATATGTCCAAGCCCAGAATATGCATTCTGCATGCCTTTTACTTATTCTAAGCCATGCATTGTAGTTTTATTATTATTATGGAGACAAGACTCAGGAGTAGTCATCATCTTATGGGTATACCACATGTGGTTTCCCCATGAAAAAGGCTTAGATCCTTGACAACAGAAACCATTTCATCTTTGTCTTTGCATCTCTAACATGGCTCCGGGTTCACAGTACTTGCTGTGCAATGCTTACTAATTGATACAATCAATGAGTTTTTCTTGAATGTCCAGTGGGTCTATAGCAGTTACACTTAACCTTGGAGATACATTGTAAAAACAGACATGATCCCTGCCCATAAGGAATTCACCCAGTTCAATCAATAATTCAATCAGTAAACATTTATTAAGCACTTACTATGTGATAGCTACTGTGTAAGCTCTGTGGATACAAAAAGAGGCAAAAGACAGTCCCTGCCCTTAAGGTGCCTACAATCAAACAAGAGAGATAACTTACAAGCAAATATATACACAGCAAGCTATATACGGGATAAAGAGGAAATATAAATTCATATTTATTTAGTCCTTATTATGTCTATGTCATAGTGTCTAGCACTGAAAGAATAAGGGGAAATTGTCCCTGTCCTCATGGAGCTTACATTCTCCTATTTGTTGTTTTTCATTCATTTTTGTCATGTCTCACTTTTCATAACTCCATTTGGGGTTTTATTTGCAAAGATCCTGGAGTGGTTTGCCATTTCTTTCTTTGGCTCATTTTAGATAAAAGGAAACTGAGGCAGACACAATTAAGAGACTTGGCCAAGTCACACAGCTGGTAAATGTCTGAGGCCAGATTTAAACTCAGGAAGATGAGTCTTCTTGACTTCACCATCAGCACCACAGCACCATTGTGTCACCTAGCTACCTACATTCTCCTATGCAATTATAACAAAATGATAGAACAGTGCTAAAGGAAAATCCTAGGATCCTATTGGAATACTATCTGTGTAGATTTTTTGGAAGACATTGGACTTGGGGAATGATTTAAAGAAGAGAAGGAATGCCAATGAGTAAAAGGTACTTTCACGTACATGAGATAAGAAAATTTTGAGAAAATGTGAATAATAAAGGTGCTGCATAAGTAATATGTAAATATTGAAAGATATACACATATATATACATATTTGTGCATATATATAATGTAAATATAGGGATACTTGATATGTATATATGTGCATATATGTGTGTGTATATATGTGTGTGTGTGTTTGTGTGTGTGTGTGTGTGTGTATAAATGCACTAGTTATACCAAGAATCCCATTACCATTATCCTAACTCCCAGATTAAAGGCTTCCTTGATGGGCATGTTTCTGGGGTTAGTCTCCCTGACACTGAGAAGAAAAATGAGACATGATTACTCCCACAGTGACCTTTGGATAAAATCTAAGCTATCTTCTCTTGAAGGAGATTGGTACTTAACTAGAGAGATAGTGGGGAAAAATACTTTTTACTCTTTTAATTCTTGAAGATTCTTAATAAATGCTAGTCAATTGAACTCCAGGTATTAAAAAAATATATTTATCATTACTATTGTTATCATCGATAAGAGGAAACAAAATACAGTATGCATATGGTTTGGGCAACTATTTCAAGGTGAATCATGAGTGAAATCTGTCCCTGAGGTCACATCTGTACTTGTTATCTTTAATTTCCATTGAATATCTTTAATTTGGTTCATTTCTTTCAGCCCTTCTCCATTACGACACCTTTGCAAGAATGGCAGTGAACAAGTTGGATGCTGTTGTTGTAGGACCTGAGTAAGAAAAAATTTTAATAGTTATTTTGGCAATATTTTAGATACACTTGATGTTTATTTTTTGTTTGGTCATATTGGGATGAATTTGGACACCATTCAAATGACCCACATTCCCAATGATTCCTGATTCCCACCATTTTTATCAGTCCTTTTGTATACCTGGGGTATTACTATCCCACATTATTCAAGGATGAGATTATATATGTGGGATCATGAATGCAGAGGATGGGACTCACTCCACTCCCTTATTTTACAGATGAGAAAACTTAGGCCCAGTGATTGAAAGTGACTTGCCCAGGGTCACACAGAGAATAACTAGAAGAGCTAGGATTTGAGCTCAGATTCTCTGATTCCCATTTCTAGTTTTTTCTCACACTATACCACATTATGTCCAACTTTTTGAAACATTTAAGTGCTAGGTATATATGTCAATTGTCATCATCCAATTTCGTTCCGTATCATGTCATGGGGCCAAGAGTGGCAATAGTTGCCAGCGACTTACAATCTAGTATGAACAACTATGTCAGCCTTAGAAAGTGGAAAGCTTTCAGTGACGTGGTCCCAGGATCTACTTGAGATGCTTTTTCAAACTTGTGCTGTGGTTCAGTTGTTTCAATCATGTCTGACTCTTCATGAACCCATTTGGGGCTTCTCCTTGGCAAAGATGCTGGAGTGGTTTTCCATTTCCTTCTGTAGCACCTTTTACAAATGAGGATACGGAAGCAAACAGGGTTAAGTGACTTGCCCAGGGTCACACAACTTCTAAGTGTCTGAGGCCAGATTTGAACTCATGAAAACTTGTCTTCCTGACTCTAGGCCTGATACTCTATGCACTGCACCACCTAGCTTCCCCTTCTAAACTTGTAGAATTTCTAAAAGTCCTTGTCCATTCTGGTAAGCAGAGTTGGGGAATTTTTAATGCTGAGCAGACACCTGATTTGGTAGACCAGAACACCAGAGGGGAAGAATGGGACAATTTGAGAAATTTAAATTGTCTTTGGGGAAAGGATCTGGAGGGGGTTGGTTATATTCTGTTTAGATTCCTCTGATAAGAACTGTGATTTCATTGGTCTAGGATATTCCCAGGTAAGGAAATTACCCCTACCAATGCAGATAGGTACTTTCTTTTAATCTTGTTTTCTAGAGAAAGGATATCAAACACACAGCATCCCCAGTGCATCCATAACCAGACTACAATGTCACTGGGAAATATTTCACAAAATAAATAACAATACAATAGAACATAGATGATGTTGATATGTTGGTCTCTAAGTCATATGCCACCTTCAGGGATCCTTATAGAAACTTAGTGGCCCTTCTTTCTATATGAGTTTGACTGATCTAGAGCACCCTGAGAGGTTAAAAGAATTGTTTGTGCTCATAGAGCCAATATGGATCAAGAAACAAGACTTGAACACGTGACCTCTTGGTCTCGTGTTCAACTCCCTATTCACCACACTTCACTCACTCTCCTCAGACATCCTTCTCAGAGCCATTGGGAAATGATTCTGAGTATTTGAAGCATCCTGCACCAGTCCCACTCACCTTGAGTTTAGACACTTTTCTGAACCATTATTGGACTTTCCAGCTCTAAATCTTTGATCCCATGATGCTGAACTATCTCCTTTGTATGTCACATTAGCCAAATGGTGAGGCAGGCCCATCTATTGAATACAGTTCAGTCTAATCAGCATCAGGTCACAAGGTAATGGTGGGAACATTCCTCAGTAAGCTAGATTCTCTGGCATGGCTGTTCGCCAGTAGCATATTGGTCTTATGATTCAAGGAATTTACACAAATGCTGGGAGCTTGGGCACTCCCTGACATGAAAGCTCAGAATGGTTCTGTTATTCAATTCCTGTAAGATAGGAAAGAGGCACTGTGATGCCATGAATAGAGTCCTATATTCATTTAGTCTCTGACCTATGGCAGCACTAAGACCTTGTGCAAATAGCATAACTTCTCTGAACCTCAGACCACTTTCTAAGATTTATCTAAGCTATAGAAAAATTCTGACATCTCAATGAATTTCTTAAATTAACAAAATCTTTGGAGAGAGTTCCCACCCTGACAAAATGACATTCCCTGACTTGTTGCCTATACAGAAAAGGGGACGGTGGAAGTATGTTTTATTGAAACCATATATAATTATTTTATTTGCTTGTATAAAATAATTGTTAAATTATTCTTCATTTCCTTGAGCACTTCAAAGAATTTTCTCACTGATGGCAGTTAGTCAGAGTGGGATACTGGAAAGAATTCTGGCTCTGGGGTCAGAAAACCTGGATTCAAATCTTATCTCAATAGCTGTGACTTTGTGCAAATCACTTAGCATCCTTCATCTGTAAAATGAAGGAACAGGAATAGAGAGCTTTTGGCATCCCTTCCAGGTCTATATCTGTGACCCTAACTCTGATTTGCATGAATATGATGGAAATTGATGACTAAGGGATACATCTCTTTTAATACCCTCTCCTGATTACTATCACTACACTACCAGTGGGATTCACTTCAATCTACCGAACAGTGTATTACTGACTATAAGGATTTTAGGTTTGTATAAGGTCACATCAGTATAGAAGGTTTTGTAGGGTTGTTCAGACTTGTGTTAGGCATGAAGAACAAATAGAACTTAAATACAACTCTCCTTTTTGTAACCTCATTGAAGGCATGATCTGGGACAGTCTTGCTGGCTTGTATTTGTACCTTCAATATTTAACAAAGTGCCTGGCTTACAGAACACACTTAATAAATTCATTATCATCCAATCATCCTCATTCATGCATAAAAAGCATCACCCTCAGCCAGAGATACCAAACTTGCAGTCCAAGGGCAATATGCCCGCCAGAAAACTCTGCTAGAGGACTAAAATGTAATTGTGAAAAGGGATGTTGTGGATTATTGCCAGGGATGTCACAGAGATTGTAAGTAGGGGAGCAGCTAGGTGGTGCAGTGGATAGAGGACTGGCCCTGTAGTCAGGAGGACCTGAGTTCAAATCTGGCCACAGACACTTCCAAGATGTGTGACCCTGGGCACTTAACCCTGATTGCCTTAAAAAAAAAAAACAGGAATTGTAAGTAGGAGCATTTATGCCTTGAAAATTGGCTAATAGTACAAATCAAGATTTGATTTATTGTTTTATTGTTTAAAGCTTAGACTTAAGAAAATGATGGAAATGAGGTTAATGATGCAGATTCAACTTAAAAGTGTGTTGTACATCTTTTGGGGGATTGGGGTTGTTAAACCCCAGGTTGTTAAACATTTACCAGCATACCTCTGGATGGAGTTTATCTGGCCTTGGTAACTTGAATTCATCTAGGAAAACTAATTACTCTCTCACTATCAAACTACTTCATTTGAGTTTTAAAATTCCATTAACCATGTTGGTTCTTAACCTCAAAGCCGGACAACAAATGTCCTTTTTAAAAAATATTTTTTAAAAGGGCCAATGATCTTGACTTTTGTTTCTGCAAAAATTCTAGAATGAAACATTTTGCCTTTCTCTTCTAGAACAACCCATACTTTGAATACAACCAAGAGTTTCTTGGCCACCATGACACAAAGACAAACAATGCACATTCAATAAAAGTCTTGCCAAATTGCTCCTTTCTATCTATACTCACTGGAATATGGATGTGAATGAGGAAGCGAGGTCCCCATTCTTACATCATTCTTGCTACTAACTATAAATCAACTCTTTAGGCCGACTAGTACTTGTGGATGGAAAAATAGGGATATTAGTGGAAGGGAAGACATCTCCCATTTTGAGTTATGAAAGAATTAAGTAGAAATAAGCTTATTTCATTTTTTTATTTTGGAAGCTATATGTCAGGAACATGCTTATAATATAAAAAGTGATTTGCTTTGTTATAGAGCTGTGCCATTAAGAAATTGTTAAACACATTTATCCTTCCCTATGGGTCTTATAATCTGAATTTGTGAAATTTTTCTATAATTTGTTCTAGATCAGTGGTGTTACACTGAAATAGAAATGGGGACCACTAAAATTTACATTAGAATCCCTGCAGGCTGTGTAAAAACTTAGAAACCACATATTGACATTATCTATGCTCTATTCTAATTTTATTTATTTGATTAAATACTTCCCAATTACATTTAAATCTGGTTTAAACAACAATAAGCAGTGTTGCCCTCTCTTCTATAAAATCATGTATCAAACCAGAAGCTTCAGTTACATAACGAAGAATAGGTAAGACCAAGCGAGGTGTTTTAAGCTCCAAACCAAAATAGATAATTATTTTGATAGAATAGAAATTGGTGGAGAAGACAATCAAATAAAAACTATTCAACTGCAGATAGTCAGTTCCATTCCCATCCTGGAAATTTCCTCTAATTAAAAAGTAAAAATAATTTTAATTCATTTGACATTTGTTCTTTGACCTGATCTGCCCCTTTCAAGGTGCCTGGTGCCACCCCATGGGCTTTTCAGCCTTGATCCTCTTGATCTCAAGGCCTACATCCAGCTTCACCAGAATGTAAAATGCCCAAAGGCAGGCTTCATTTCATCTTTGTCTATGTATTCTCATCACCAAGCACTGTGCCTGGCACATAGCAAGTGCTTCATAAAGGCATGTTGAATCAAAATCTTAATCATCTCCCTTAATAGTCAATTGTAAAATGAGAATTGTTGGGAAGTTGGGGGTTGATGGGTAGAATTTCTTTTTGGAGGCACTTTTTGTGTACTCCATTTCTTCTGTAGTAAGCGTATTGACATGCCAGCATAGATGCAGCTAGAGCCAAATGTTAAGTGCCTTCTTCTTCTTCTTTTTTGGGCAGCTAAGTAGCACAGTGGATAGAGAGCCTGGCCTGCTTCATGAGTTCAAATCCAGTCTCAGACACTTACTAGCCATGTGACCCTGGACAAGTCACTTGACCTTCTTTGTTTTAGTTCCCTCATTTCCTCATAAATTGAGCAGGAGAAGAAAATGGCAAACCACTCTAGTATCTTTGTCAAGAAAACTCCAAATGGCATCATGAAGAATCAGGCATAACTGAACAATAACATTTTTCTTTTAAAGCTATCGAAAAATTCCTAAATATCACCATCCAATTCAGTGGAATGATGCTTATGATTTTGTGAAGTCCTTCCTACAACCTGAAACTCTTGCCAAATATGGTGTGGATCCAACCAGAGTCTGTATTTTAGGAGACAGTTCTGGGGCTGGCTTAGCAGCAGCCATGACTCAACAGGTAGGATGTTATACCTCTTTTATCCCATTGCTTTACGGTGTTTATTGCAATGAATGTCTGTACTGTGACTGCTTTGAAGAGGAAGACAGAGCCTTGGACTTGAAATTCAAACACCTGGGTTTCTGATACTTACTAGCTGTATGACCATATTAGTCACTTATTCTTAGGAAGACCCTCCATATTGGGAAGTTAATCCTGCTGACTCAAATGAGTATTTTATGCCTAGTATTTGAGATGATTCAAAAGTTGAAATTGACTTTTTCTCTCCTGCTGGTATGTGGTATGGGACTATTCTGATTTAATGAATATTCTGGTTTTTGCAGGTCATGGGTGCCCCTGAAATTCCCATTAAACCTAAAATTCAGGCTTTAATTTACCCTACCTTGCAGATGCTTGATACAGACTTGCCATCCTATAGGGAATATGAACACGGCATAATGTTGACCAAGGCCTTACTAATAAGAATGATGAGGGAGTTTCATACCACTGATGAATCCCTTGAGCAAGCCATGAAGATTAACCAACATATACCTGCCGAATATAGCCATCTCCTGAAGTTTGTCAACTGGACTACCCTGCTTCCTGAGAGATTTAAAAAAGGCCATCTTTACACCAAGCGAATTTATGGAAGTTCTGAAATAGTGGAAAAGTTTCCAGGGATTATAGATCCTATAATAAACCCTTTGTTGGCCAATGATTCGACAGTGAGCTTTCTGCCACTAACTTACATGCTCACATGTCAACATGATATCTTAAGAGATGATGGGCTCATGTATGTTTCCCGCCTACGCAGCAATGGAGTCCAAGTGTTCCATGAACACATTGAGAAAGGATTCCATGGGTCTTTCTTCTCCATTCATTGGCCATTTGATTTAGATCTTGGTTGGAGACTAATAGGTAATCTAATTAGTTGGATAGATAAGAATTTATAGAGTTACTGCACATACATCTATATGTATATAATATAGATCTATAACAAATTGCTTGCCTTCTCAAGGAGGAGGGATGGGAAGGAGGGAGGGAGAAAATTTGGAACTCAAAATTTTTAAAAACCAAATGTTAAAATTTTTTACGTGTAATTGGAAAAAATAAAATACTTTTTTTAAAAAAAAAGAGCTCATGTATCATGTAAAAATAAAAGGCATTACTATATCCATGTAGTCCCTAACTTATATATAATGTATGTTCTAAAAGCTGACTTTTGAGTCATTTGTTTGAAATTCCCCTTAGAAACAATTTTGTCCATAGTTATTAGGTCCTTCTCTTGACCAGGGTCAATCCCTCTGTTTGTATCCTTGACTAAATCTCTTCCCATCTCCTTCTTCAGAACCTTCTGCAATGTCATCTACCCTTCTTTTAATCTTTAGTCTCTCCCTATTGACTCTTTCATCGCTGCCTATAATCATGCCCAGTCTTCCACATCTTTTAAAAAGTGAAAGTTTGATGATGTCATTCCCCTACGTGGCAAACTATGATGGTTCCCAGTTAGTGATGTAACCTACTATGTTGTTGTTATTGGTGTTTTTCTTCGTCCTTCATTTTGAAGAGGACCAATGGTATCAGGGGTGATGTCTTGACTTATGCATGAATTGAATTTAAGTGAGGCAGAGTTGCACAGAGTCATCTGTCTCATCCTCTCTTCCTGAGACCAGTGACAAGACAAAAGTCAAAGATGACTGGCAATGGCCCAGGATGCAGTGGATGACCTTGGTGCCTACTTCAGCTGCCTTCAGGACTATTGGAACAAATTGTTCTCGTTCACCAAAGTCTTCACATGCTTGGAGTAGCCATCCCCCTAACTCACTGACAGGGTTAGGGCCTGTTTATCCTCCACCTGGTTTAACCTGTCTGCCAAGACAGTTTACAAGAGTGTGGCTAACAAGAAAAATTATATATATATATATATATATATATTAATTAATTAATTTAAAAAGAGTGTGGCTATTGGACATTCTACAGTTTCTTGGAGCTACAGGTGAGAGCTGAGTGAAGCTGTACACCAAAGGTAGATGAGCAGCCTTGGAAAGGGCTCAGCAAGTCTTCACATCAGAGGTGCTAGTTCTCCCTGAACACCTCATATACCCCAACCTACTATACTGTGCTGCTATAAGGATTGGGTGATTAATTTCTACCAACCCTACCCTATGTAAAATAACTAATCATATGCTCAGTCAATCAGCTTCAAAATCATATAAGTGTGAAAACTTCTTAAAAATGGAATGAAGTTTTACAAGAATCTTATTAAAACAGTCCTAACTTGGCCGGGCCTCTGGGATTGTTGATAAATTATCAAGCAAGTTGAGAAGCAATACTGGAGATATCCCCAAGTAATCTGAGGGTGGCCAGGGGCCTTGGGAACCAAAGATTAATCATGCTTTTGGGGAACTTCTGGAACATCCCATGAATGGGAGAAAAGGCCCTCTGGCCACTAGGAAAATGTGAGTTACCCCTTTGCTGAGCTCGGACTCACTTTCCCCTGGATGCTGTATGAATTTGTAGAAAAATGTGTTGCATGTTATCAGCTCTTCTTACTGTTATTTCCTTCTTCAGTCAAACTTTCCAAAAGCTGCTTAAAGCTGTCTAAATAAATTGAGTCTCAACTGGTAATATTAATGACATTTTATCTAAATTTTCTTTTTCACATTTTCTAATGACATTTTCTCTATCCCTGAGCTTCAATTTCCTCTTTGATCAAATGAAAGATGACCTTCACTAAAGACTAAGCCATGTACTTGGCTTGGGAGACTGATTTCATCTCTGAATGAAAACCTCAAGGACACATGATTTCATCTCTAAAGCTACTTCCTCTAGTGATACAGCTCCAAGACCTAAAGGTACAACCGAAGGAGCTTCTCTGGAAACAAATTCATCCTGGTGAAGACCAAGCTTCTGTGCATGAGTTTCTCTTGGCATAGCTGGGCTGCTCATCCAGAGCAAATGTGTTACTAGACCCCTGTTTGAAACTTCTCTAGCTCTGTAGAACTTGACAGCACTTGCTTCCCCTGGAATAGACTTTAATGATTCTGGGTCACCTCCCTGCTACGATGCAGTATCACAGAAGGACTTCTGGGAAGGATCTCTGAATGGAGTATCTTTGAATCTCTTCTGTTAAGAAACAAATGATGACTGTGAAAAATCAGGAGAAGCAGGGAAATGTAGAAAGATCATTTTTCAAGAGATGTCATGCATTCCAGCTACTTCATTGTACTGAAAAAACTGCAGGAAACTGAGTCCCAGAGAGGTTAAGGTGACCTGCCCATGAGCACACAGCTAATAAATGTCTGAGGTTTCTGAGGCATTTAAGACCAGGTCTTCCTGAGCAATCTCTCTCCCGCATCATGCTGACTCTCAGCACAGCTGAGGAAAAGACAAGTCACCAGAACCTGAAAAATAACGTACACATTGACTGCAGCAATGTAAATAGAAAGGCCAACACCAAAAAGATAGTAGAAACTGAATGGTCTGAAATTGAAATGACCAAGCTTGACCCCAAAGAACAGATGCGCAAGGAACTTTCCTCCCTTTCTTAAGACTATAGGTGTAGAGTGCTGCATAGAAATCAGATATTTTCAATGTATTAGTTGGTTTTGGTCAATGTTATTTTTCCCTCTTTTTTATTCTTTGTTATAGTGGCTGGTTCGATGGGGTGCCAACGGTGGGGGAATGATTGGGGAGCCAGGGGAATAGAGTGAGAAACTTAGGTGATATAAAATAATAATAATAATAAAGATACCAATAAAATTTTATTACAATGAAAACTCCTTGTTCTATTTTTCTAATTAATGAAAACCATATTTTTAATATCAAACCAACAGAAAGTTCATGTTTCAGTATGGAGTTGACCAGACAACCACCACAGAAAGGAAGGGAAATCATTGTGGTCTGCATTATTGACTGAGACGCTACTGCCACCTAGTGGTGTAGTTTCCAAATGACAATATCTGCATGCTATTAGCATGTTCATCCAGGAGGTCAATGTTTAATTGCTGTACTCGGGCAAATATTTGCTTTTTTTAAATTTTCTTGAACTAAGCAATAAATACTGATGACGCTAATATCTCCTGGATCTTTCAGTCAACTAAGTGATTGGGAAAATGTAATCTACTGTAGAAAATTTGTATCTCTAAAAGCTCAATTTTTCCCTTGTCATCCAGCATAGATTTGGAGTTGAAAGAGAATTTACAGGTCTTCTGGTCCAACCTTCTTATTTTACATATGAGGAAACTGAGGCTTAAAGAGGTGAAGTTACTTGCCCCAGGGAGCAAGTAAAGTGTCAGAGTTTGGAGTTAAACCAAGGTCCCCCGACTCCAAACCCAGCACTTCTCCCACTGAACCAACGTTCCTCCTAATCCATTCTACAAAGATTTTATGAACATGGGGAAATGAACATGGGTATATGAGAATGTAATTGCTGATGTTTCCCCATTCACTGTTTTCCATCCAGTTATCATTTTTAATAATGGCGCCTCTCATGATCTTTCAGTGGCAGCTAGGAGGTACAAGGGACAGAACTCCAGAGCCTGGAATTGAGAAGGCCTGAGTTCAAATGTGACCACACTTACTAGCTGACCCTGAACAAGTCACTTAACTGTTGTTTGCTTCAGTTTCCTCAAATAAAATGAGGATTATAATTGCACCTACCACCCAAGGTTGTTCTGAGGATCAAATGAGATAATAATTTTAAAGAGCTTAATGGAGTACCAAAATAATGGCTACATTAATATAAGCTATTTATTATTTTTATTTTCCACCCTCTGGGAATCTTCCAACATTTGATATAACTTGAAAATTATTCCCTGAATGCCTTTAACTTTATAGCACACCTCTCCAAGATGTACATGTTGTGCAGATGTCTCATCAGGTCCAGTCACTTTTCCTGAATGCCTCTTCTCAAGCATCCTTCATACTCTCTCTTTTTACTTACTATCTGCTGAGCATTGCCTGTCAGGTCCAAACACAGTGTTTTCTCTGTGATTGATAAGAATAGCTTTAAACGAAGTTGACATAGCATTTTGAGGTTTATAAAGCCCTTAGGATAATTTCCTCATTCTGAGCCCAAAGAGTGAATGAGATCTTTCTTGGGCAGTGCCAGGAGGCAGCAAATGGGGTGCTAGCACCCTCTGCACTCTCTCCTTGTCACATCCCGTCTGATTAGTATGGACAGTCCCAGGCATCACAATTTAGTAAGGACGTTGATAAGCTGAAGAGTGTGCAGAGAAAGCCAACCAGGATGCTTCATGCTTGATGAGGATTCATTGTTGAAGAAGCTGTGGGTATTTAGCCTGGAGAAGAAAAGACTGGTGAGTAACTCATGAGAACTTTGTCAGTATTAGGGTATTTGGAGGGAAAAAATTATATGTAATATATATATAGATAGACAGATAGATAGAGGGCACAGGGTGAGTTGAAAATGAAGGGGTCATATCTGGAGAATAAAATTAAGGGTTGAGAGAGGATTATACTAGGAGGAGAAAGGGAGAGGTAGAATGGGGTAAACCATCTCACAAAAAAAAACAGAAAAGAAAAGACTCTTACAGTGGAGGGGAAACAGGGAAGGTGAGAGGTAATGGGTGAATCTTATTCTCATAGGATTTGACTTAAGTGGGGAATAACATACACACTCAACATATAGGAAGAGAGGGGAAGAGATGTGAAAGGGGTGTGTGTGTGTGAGTGTGTGTGTGTGTGTGCGTGTGTCCCATGAAGGTTATGTGTGTTCACGTGTGTCTGTCCAGGCATGAATAGAGATCTCTAAAGTCTTCTCCACCCACCTTCTCTCAAGGGAGACTTTAATTCCTACAAAGAGAGGAGCAGGAAATTGGATCCACTCTGCTCTCTTCAGAAAGGGGGTAGCCAACTAGAATTATATCTATGCCTCCCATCCACATATGTTAGGCAGAGGCAATAATTTTAGTCTCAAGTTATGTTCCTGATCACTATCCTGTATCTTACCCTACAGGAAAACAGGGTGAGAAGGGGACAAGAGAGCAGGGGAACGATAAAGAGAAGGCAGATTG